ATTTTGCCCTTTTGGTGATCTGATCAAATTTCTTATGGAGTTGTGATCCAAACTTGATCAAATGGTTCATATGATTTCATAATGTTGATGTGGGTCAAAATTTATGAGGTTTGACTGTAAATTGGCCACAGTTGACTTTTTTCCCAATACTGTTGATCTCTAGGTCAACTGTCCAATTGACTGGGCAAAAATTTGATTCAAGGCTTGAAACTTGGTATGGACAAACTCATGAGTCCAACATGAAGTTTGAAAGTCACTTTGGGCATTGTAAGTCAAAAAATCCCTGTGCAAACTAAAACCCTAATTTAGGTCAACAGTGCAAGGAGATGTCTCGAGCAGAGCAAACCCTAGCTTGATCTTGAGTTCCAAGAGCCTTGTGATGAGAAATATTGATAAAATGAGAGGGCAAATTTTGGGGTACAACAACGACCTTTAGTGGGTAACACTTAACAAATTTCTTTCTCACAACCTTTTTTTCAAAACAAACAAAACATTTTACACATCACATCTCAAACAGATATTTTCGAACAAACACTTTGTATGTATTCTTGAGGACTGATACAAGAATCATTACAAATTATGTCTCACAATTGGAATTCAAAATATTTTCAAACAATCACACACACACAAAGCAAAAAATTTTAAAGTGAGCTAAGCAATTAAGATCCCGTAGATAACTACAGATGAAAAGGGTGCTAATACCTTCCATTTTCATAACTTACCCCCCGAACCCAAAATCTATCAAAGATATTTTTGTTCTTTTCACCTTTCCTTATTGGATAAAAGAAAAGTCGGTGGTGACTCTTGCTATCCGTAACATTTGTGATAAAATGCCAAACAAGCCAGTTCTCCCACCATGTTACATCACCCCTTCTAGATATGTGTCGTCGTCTAGCATGTTTGGTTCAAAAATAAATAATAGAGTCGGGCTCTGATACCAATTGAAGGTAAAGAAAAACACAAGAAATGCGGGTTTGAATTGGTTTTTCAAAACTTTTCCCTTTTGAAAAACTATTTGATAAAACTATGAAAGAATATAGAATGCTAGAAATATAAAGAGACACATTCAATTTATCCAAGTTAACCTTCAACAAGGCTACATCTTGTCCACCCTCCTCGGATTATTTTGCCTTAGACAAGGACTTAATCCACGAATCTCAACAGATTACAAATGCACGGGCTACCCACTGATGACTAATAACAACAATGATCATACAGTTAGTGATCCCTTAAAATTTTTGACCTACCCGGTCCCTTAATAGATATAATGATCATTGAACCCTCAAGGATTTTGATCTACCCGGTCCCTTAAAAAATATAACGATCACTGACCCTCAAGGATTCTAACCTACTCAGTCTCTTAGAAAGGATTTCATCTACAATGACCAGCTGTCAAAGTATTCTCAAGTATATAAATATCCACTCGATCACTTGAGGCATCACCAATTCTAGAAAGAATTGTTTCTGGAGATTACAAGAATGCTTCCTAACAAGCAGATTACTCCTAGTTTAAGTACATGATAAAACACACAAGTGTTTAGCAATATATGAGCAACAAATCCTAGCTTTTACATAATTCTATAAAGATGAATATACTCTAAATTTTAGTGCAGCATCTTGTAGTCTTCTTCATCTTCATCTTCATCTTCTTCTTTATTTCTTTTCATATCTTATTTTCATCTCTCATTCTTTGTGTTTGTGGACTTCATCATCATCAATATCGTCAACTTCGTCAAATTGCAATTAGTCCATTGATATTATTATATAGCCTTCAAAAAGAGTCATTGTAAGGGTAGAAAAGTCCTTTATCCTTCTAACCATTGATTCCCAATGGATAGATTCAAGAGATATTTGAAATAGTACGAAATGTTACATTCCTTAGCCTGCTGCTTGCATTTGTTAGCATAATAACATGTGAGACAACTTCTGTGATTAGTACAACCAATATCATGATAGTGGAATTTGTGGTGTACTGTTTTTACTGTATTCTTTTGAACTAAGTTTCTTGATCTTTATCTTCTGATGATGTACTTCTGATTCTTAAGTATTAAGCTTGGAAGAGATCAATTACTTTGTCTTAATTTTTCTGATGAATAATTGATGAGTAGTTTAGAAACTACTTTGTTGTTGTAGCATAGGAACATCAGAGTTGTCAAAACCATGACTTGTCTTCAGAAATAATAGTAACAACTTTTCTGAAATACGAAGCTTGACTTCTGAACTTAGAAATAGTCTTGAAGGCGTATATCTTATCTGATCTGAGAGATGAAGGTTAAGTGAGAAGATGTTTCATTTTATAATCTTTCATTAGTGGATTATTGTCTTCAGATATATAAGCAACAACTTATCAGAGAAACAAGTCTTGTCGTTGTAGGCGAAAGCTTTTCTGAAGTTGATATCAAAATCTTTTCTGATGTTTAGATCTTGAAATCAGATATTATGGCAACATTCTTTCAGATTCTCAAGTCTTTGAATTCTGAGCTTTGATTCTTTTCTTCTTGCGGGATTGATTCTGATTGAAGAACAATAGTGATCTAGGATATGCTTCTTTGTTGTAGAGTCAGAGTCTTTCAGATATTTGAATATTATCTTCAGATATACAAGCAACAACTAATCTGAGGAGTAACTTCTTTGTTTGTAAATGAAAGCTTTTATGATCCACTATGTCTTAATCTGATCTTGATTTCTGATAATCATCTTTTCTGAGCTGCATGTATGATTTTTGAAGCGAAAACTTATATCAGTACATCTAATTTTCTGGTTAATTCATCTTGATCTGATCTTTGATTTCTGATAACAGCTTTTCTGAGTTGCATCTTTGTTATCTGATTTCTGAAGCGAAAGCTTATATCAGTACATCTGATTTTGAATTTGAATTATTTCTTTCTGATCTCTTGATTATGATATTTGTATTGAGTTGAAAACAATAGCTTATGTCAGTTACAACTTGGTTTCTGATCATGAATTATTTCTTTCTGATATCTGAGATCTTCTTTTCTAATATCTTGAGATCTTCAATTCTATGCTCTGATTTCTGATATCTTTGTTTCTGAGCATCTTCATTTCTGATATCTTCATTCTTGATATTGAGCTATAAGAAAAAGCTTTTATCAGGTACTTCTTTGATTTCTGATATCTTGACTTCATAGCTCTTGATTCTGATCTTGACTACGATGTTGAGTTGATCTTTGAATCTTGACTTCTTGGCTCTTTGATTTTTGATCTTTTGAAGCTTGAGCTCTTCTTAGAAGCTCATCGAGATTCTTTTCTTGTCGAACATTCATCATTCAACATAACTAATGATGTTTCATTAGAAATGAACTCAACCGTTCTTCTTTTGAGTGATAAAGTGATTTTGATGATATCTTGATTAAGACTATCCATAATTCTAATAACTGCGCACTCAATGAAATCATTAGAACTAAAATTATTCTACATAAAATATATGCATTGTTATCATCAAAATATAGGGATTTAAACAGAGATCCAAATCTTGTTCTAACTGAGGGAACCAATAGTGGTCCTCTCTTGTGAAGGTGAGTACATTGCAGCTTTATTGTGTGTGTGTGTGTGTGCCAAGTCACGTGGTTGATGAATTTGTTGAAGGAGTTGGATAGGAAAGAGGGTGACGTTGTAACACTCATGGGAGGAGCAAGCATATTGATTTTAGGTTTCACTACTTGAGAGAACATGTTAATGAATGAATGTTGAGATTGGAATATTGTAGAAGTGAAGACCAAATGACTGATTTGTTGATCAAAGGAGTCAGAATTGAAATGTTCAAGAGATTGAAGAAGAAGGAGAACTTGAGCATGAAATACTTAGAGCACATGAATTAAGGTGTCGTGTTAAGAAGAAAAAAAACTAATTCAGGTGCATGTAACTGGTTGGCATAATAGTGCAACCGATTATAGTCCTTTAAAATGTCAAATAGAACTTACAGTAGCAAAGTGCAATCGGGGTTGACATAATATGTCAACCGGTTACATCTGTAGCATTTTAGTTAAAAATTGAAGTTAGTGACAAAGTGCAACTAGTTTGACATAATATATCAATCGATTACACCTGCGAGTTTTTAATTTTTATTTTGTTTGATAATTATACCTCATCATGTAATTGTATAAATATCTTTGGTATATCTTATAAATGGATGAATCTATATTTTCATCTTCAATTTTACTCTCTCTAATTTTCTCTCACTCTCTCTCTATACTCCATTAGTCAATTATTCATCAACCTTATGATTTAAAGTTTTAATGATCCTTGACTAGCTAACTTTCAAGTTCGACGCCATCTATTAACCGGAAGAAAAAAAAGGGTAATCAACGTGTTATCTAATCCAACTTTAATAACACTTTAAAAGCGTTGTATATGCATCAAATCATAAACACACTTAGTATTTTTAACCATTATAAGAGTGAAGTTTTACAATAAGTTGATTATGCTAGTGGCAATGTGAAAATTGGGAAACATATGTGATGTGATATATGATTATTCTCATCGCATTAGCATCATTCACTAAGTCATATTCTTTTTAATTATGAATAGGGCTTATGCACCATTGCACCAATATCTTTTCTTTCAATTGAAACAATGATGGAAATAAATCCTAACTAATACTCATAATAACTTCGAACTGTTATTCCTCGAAGTGATTTTAAAAAAATAAAATAAAATCTTAACCAGTCTTTTTCCAACAAATTTGCAAGGAGGAATTAAACCAGTCTCTTTACCAATGATTAATGAACATAACCAATATATATTCTAATCAAATGGAAATTTCCTATATAGTCCATATTTGAATTAAGATGGAACATTTCATCATTTGATATTGTTGAATAACAAGAAATTAATGGAAACACCACTTAATCTTGTCTCATATATTGACAACCCCACCATATAGTTATTAGCCCAAAACCTTATAGCTAACATCCCTATAAAAGCCATTTGAGTCTCTTCTATCTTCACACAAGACCACATACACATATATCAAATCTAGAATGAAGCTTCTGGCAATTGCACTTGTGTTTGTGTTAGCAAGCTCTTGTATGGCAAATGATAAAAGAAATTTAGTGCCACAAATGTTTGAAAATCATTTATGCACAGAAGGAGGTAGTCACAAACTCATTGATCAGAATAATCTCCATGGCCGGAAGAACTTTGGCAAGCCCGGTGGAGCTAACCAGTTTGGTATCAATGATGATAATGATCATCATTACATTCCTCGCAAGGATTATGGGACGCATCCTGGCAATGAATGAAATTGTATCCCATATGATTAGGGAGATATGTATAATATAAGTTGTAATGTTTGATTATAAATCGGTTTGAATAAATTATTTATCTATACCTTTTATATTTAAGCCTATATATACATAACATAAATGATATCTTGACACTCCAACATACACCTACACCGTATAATATTAGGCAAATATACTGGTCTTTTTATAATTTAATTAAGAAATAAGAGCAATTTAGTCCTTTTAAATTAATTGTTAGGATAAACTCAATTTCAATTTCTTTTTTAGACGATACATTCTTTTCTCTCTAAGAAGAAACAATGTTTTCTCTCTCTTTCGAAATTCCAAAACGACGTACGGTGCTTTCTTCTCTCATCGGCGATGCTCTCTCTTGACTATGTGCTCTCTCATCACAGATGCTTTCTCATCGACGATGATCTCTCTCTCAATGCACGAAGGCCGCTCTCTCTCTCTCTCTCTCTCGACGGTGTGTCCTTTATCGACGGTTATCTTGACAGGGAGCACGGCGGTGGTTTGTGGTGGAGTTGTGGCCGGAACTTTAACTTGAAGGTGATTTTAGATAAAAGTGAATTGTGTATTCTTTTTCTTCCTCCTTTTATACTTTTCTTTTTCAATTGATTTTCAATTTTTGATTTCGTGCTGAAAATGACTTTGTAGAAATGAAATTGAGTTTGAGTACGATTGTGTTAGATATGTTATGGTTTGATGTTCTTCATCATTGTGATTTATTCCTATAGCGGTAGAAATGTTGAGACTAAGTCATTGGATTGACTTGACTCGCATAGATCAAAATAAAAATCGCCACCACGCTTTATTATTTTCAAAGGAATGGGAAAAGAGCGAATAACCCAAAAAGAGGAGAGAGAATCTAAGTTCAGGGGTTGGTTATGCAAAGAAAAGATATTAACACCCTAAACATCTACGGTACTCCGTAGGAACCTCTTTGTAAATCTGTGTATTTTGGCTATAAATGTTGTATAAAATAATAAATGGTGGAGATGAGAAAAGAAGTATTTTTTTATAATTTTTTCACCCGCCGCGATTGCGAACCTTTAGTGCCTACGTACCACCTTCCGTGCAATAGGGGATCAGGGTACACATAGTTCATCTTTTAAAAATTTAAAACACAAGTGTGTTGGTTTAATTTTAAGAGATGGGACATCATCGTCATTGTCCGATTGGAAAACATACTTATTATTCACAATTATGATAAATGAGCATTTGTGTCATCTCAAAGTGGAGTATATGGTTTAGATTTTAAAATCAACTAAGCCTCACTCAACACCCAAGTGGAAAATATCTCACTTCACTATATATCGTAGAAGCATAGTTGTTTGCATCACTACAAGGATTGACAAGAGTCTAATCTTTTGAGAAAATTTTTAGGTAAAAAGCCAAAGTGGCATAATGGTTTGAATGAGATTGATTGACTTTTAGTCTTCTCACAAAAATATCAAAGTATTATTAAATTGTTTAAACTTTGATTAAGAAAATATTTTGAAAATGCGTAGACCTAAGTCCAAGTTTATTGTGAAAGCGGTTCAAGTTTAGAAAAAACAAGAAGAATTTTCAAAAGGAGGGAGAAGATTTTTGAAATTAAAGAAGATAGGAGGAGATGAAGGGACTATCCTAAAGCATAAGATAAAAGATAGGGAAAAGAACCGTCTAACCAACAAGAAGCCAACCTTTGGATTGAAACCAAGCAAGCAAAGATACTAAACCTCTTAAGAAAACCAAGCTTCAATTGCATTAAGTCTTCACAAAAATTGGACAAAGTAACGGTTGTATACAGATGAATTCCCAATCACAGACAAAGCATGTAATCACAATAACCTGCACACAAAGCAAACAAATAAACAACCCAATGTCTTGAGGGTAAACCCCAAGAACTATATACAAAATAACAATTAAGGTCACAAGTTCTCAAAGTAGGTCACAACTTCTAATCCTAAGTCCAAGAAATTCATAATCTCCATAATATCAAGGATAGTAACCAAGTAGTCCAAGTAACATTAAAGTTTTTTATGGTTCATGTTAATTATTAGGTATCTTCAAAAAGAGAATGAAAAACTCAAGTGAGAAAAAATAAAAATGTCATAAAAAGTAAACGCTCAAGTGAGCAAGGATGAAAATAGCATGAAATGTAAATGCTAAAATAAATGTGCTTAAAGTAAAGAACATAAAGCAAATGCATAAAATAAAGTCAATTGTTAGAAATTAGTGGTTAGTTGAATGACCATCTTGAAACTTGCATTTGAAACTCATTAGAAGATTGATACAATCAAAGCCTCTTAATAACAAGTTTCATTTGCTTTTTGTCAAGTATATCATTCATTTAAATTTCTCAAGACAAAAATAAATGATCAAAGATGTTTGAGTGGTTCACTTTGACCAAAGTTTATGAAGATTCATTAGAAGATTGATAAGACCAAAGCCTCCTAACAATGAATCTCAAAGTTATTGGATGAAAGGATTCAAATCAACATACTTGGGCTTGCAAACATAAGTTTGTGCCACGAATGATCGTTTCTCGGATCGGGACAAAATTTAGCGTTATGTTAAACAATCATAAGTGGACTTATATAGAAGTCGCACATTTTTTAGGCTGGCCAATAGGAATCTATGTACCATATGTTTTGAGAAATGATATGGAAATTATTCTCCAATAACATTTAGTACAATAAGAATGGGATAAGATGGAGAGGGATATGGTAAGGAATAAACCACATTTGAACAAAAAATTTGATCAAACTATTATTAAAATCATTCATCCATTTTTATGGAGTAGACTCAACATCATGAATCCAATGATGTTAATAAAGCTCATGATCAAAATTTCATAGTCCAAGATCAGCCAGAATATATACGAAAAATAAAATTATATTTAAAATAAAGAAAAAGGTTTTTAAAATGAAAATAAGAAGGGAAAATGAAAATTATATTCAAATCAACCAAGAAAAATCAAATGAGGCCATAGAAAAATCAGAAATATACTCAAATGTTTATATAAAATTCTTGGTAATTTTTTAAAAAGTCAGAAACTATTTTTAAACTAATCAAAATTTCTCAAATAAATGAAAAAAAGATCAAAAATAGTAGAAGTCAAAATAAAATTCTAAAAAAATTCAGAAGGTCAGAAATAATGGAAATGATGTTGATGAATTTTTTCAGAATTTAAAAATGTTCAAAAGTATTTTTTAAGTAATTAAAAACAAACATAAACAAAGAAAAATTATAAAAATATCAAATCTAAAAATAATATCATGAAAAAATAAAATTCAGAAAGAGAAAAATCAAAAGTATTTTTCATATTTTTTGAAGTTAAAATGAATTTTCTATGAATTTTTGAAGTTTAAAACAAATAAAAATATATAATCAGAAAATAAAATAAAATCAAAAAGATGTAGACCATTGGATCAATGTCAAAACGCGATAGTAATTAAATCAAAAGGATCTGGCGTGCTGTCCATATCATAGACATTAGTGAATAAAGCATGAAATCAATTATTTAAATCATATTTTGAAAAAATGCGTGGCACGCTTTCATTGGTTGATAGATGACACGTTGGTCATCTTCAACCTCCAGCCAACGAATCTGTAGGTTCCAGAAACTGTAAAATTAGGACACGAGACCGGTACCATTCACTTCGTCTCTTCAAGACGATTCCAATGGTACCTTCGCGAAAAATTTATATAAACTGTAGCTCAAAATTTTAGGTTTCTTGGTCAAGAAGTTTCACATTTTGACATATTTTGATGAATTATGACCAATGGCACTTGATTTTGACCAAAAAGTCAAAGTTTGACTTTTCAATGTACAGTTGACTTTTGATCAGTTGACTACAAAATTCATCTGTCAACCCTATGCATTTGAGATCTTTTGAACTATATGATTAGGTCAAGATGATGCCATTGAGTCCTTTAAATCATGCTTGAACCCAATTGGTCATTGGCTAGGTTAAAAATCAGAAATTGCCCTTTCTCAATCGAAACCCTAATTTTGACCATTTTGCCCTTTTGATGATTTGATCAAATTTCTTGAGGAGTTGTGATCCAAACTTGATCAAATGGTACATAGGAGCCTAAAATGTTGTTGTGGATCAGAAATTATGAAGTTTGACTGTAAATTGGCCATGGTTGACTTTTCCCCCAATACAATTGATTTTTAGGTCAACTGTCCAATTGATTGGGCAAAAATGTGATTCAAGGCTTGAAACTTGGTATGGGCAATCTTAGGGGTCCAAGATGGTGTATGAAAGTCACATGAAGCTTTGATGGTCCAAAAATACTTGTGCAAACTTAAACCCTAATTTCAGGTCATCAGTGCAAGATGAGGTCTTAAGCTGAGCAAACCCTAATCTTGTTTGGAGTCCAAGAAGTCTTGTGAGGAAAATCTTGATAATATGAGAGGGCAAATTTTTGGGGTACAACAGCTGCCCCTGTTTAATCTTCTTGAACCGAAAGAGTTAGATTGGCGAGCTTTGCCGTTCGTGACTCGAAGGTAAAAGATGATTGGACACTAGAGTGCCCGTAAATTTTCACTCGTCAAAGTGTAGTTGAGGAAATGGGCTTAAAGATGCCATTTGGAGATGTGCTAAAATATTTTTGGAGATGGGCTTAAAGATTCCATCCAAGAATGTTTGTTGAATTGTATGTTGTAAGTCAAAAGAATGAGTATTCAGATTGGTGTGTGTGTCTAGAATGCATCTGAGTTGTATCTGGAGACTTGTAATGAGAAACAGAATAGCATCTGTGTCTGGAGCGTCTCTGAACTGTATCTTGAAATTGGAATCTGAATGAGCAGTAGAATAGCACCCGTGTCTGGAGCATCTCTGAGCTGTATCTGGTAGTTGGAATCTGAATGAGCAATAGAATAGCATCCATGTCTGGAGCATCTCTGAGCTGTATCTTGAAATTGGAATCTGAATAAGCAATAGAATATCATCCGTGTCTAGAGCATCTCTGAGCTGTATCTAGTAGTTGGAATCTGAATAAGC